CATCGCACCCATTGGGTATGATGGTAGCCGCGCCACACATCCGCCTGTTTACCATCGCACCCATTGGGTACGATGGTAGCCGCACCACACATCCGCCTGTTTACCATCGCACCCATTGGGTACGATGGTAGCCGCGCCACACATCCGCCTTTTTACCATCGTACCCATTGGGTACGATGGTAGCCGTGCCACACATCCGCCTGTTTACCATCGCACCCATTGGGTACGATGGTAGCCGCGCCACACATCCGCCTTTTTACCATCGCACCCAATGGGTACGATGGTAGCCGCGCCACACATTCGCCTTTTTACCATCGCACCCAATGGGTACGATGGTAGCCGTGCCACACATCCGCCTTTTTACCATCGCACCCATTGGGTACGATGGTAGCCGCGCCACACATCCGCCTTTTTACCATCGCACCCATTGGGTACGATGGTAGCCGTGCCACACATCCGCCTGTTTACCATCGCACCCATTGGGTACGATGGTAGCCGCGCCACACATCCGCCTGTTTACCATCGCACCCATTGGGTACGATGGTAGCCGCGCCACACATCCGCCTGTTTACCATCGCCGCCTGTTTACCATCGCACCCATTGGGTACGCTGGTAGCCGCGCACACATCCGCCTTTTTACCATCGTACCCATTGGGTACGATGGTAGCCGTGCCACACATCCGCCTGTTTACCATCGCACCCATTGGGTACGATGGTAGCCGCGCCACACATCCGCCTTTTTACCATCGCACCCAATGGGTACGATGGTAGCCGCGCCACACATTCGCCTTTTTACCATCGCACCCAATGGGTACGATGGTAGCCGTGCCACACATCCGCCTTTTTACCATCGCACCCATTGGGTACGATGGTAGCCGCGCCACACATCCGCCTTTTTACCATCGCACCCATTGGGTACGATGGTAGCCGTGCCACACATCCGCCTGTTTACCATCGCACCCATTGGGTACGATGGTAGCCGCGCCACACATCCGCCTGTTTACCATCGCACCCATTGGGTACGATGGTAGCCGTGCCACACATCCGCCTGTTTACCATCGCACCCATTGGGTACGATGGTAGCCGCGCCACACATCCGCCTGTTTACCATCGCACCCATTGGGTACGATGGTAGCCGCGCCACACATCCGCCTGTTTACCGTCGCACCCATGATACATACACACATTTGTACCTGGGCACATGAGCACACGGATGGTGGGGCACACACATTCACTCCAAAAAAAGAACGGAGGGAGGGAAGGCCAAGGGAGTGAAGGGGACAGCAGAGGGGAAGGCACAGGATGGAAGAAGGGAGGGCACATGGTAGGGGAAGGGAGGATGTTGGGAGGGAGCGTTGAGGGAAGTGGGGGGGATGATGGAGGAAGGGTGGAGGAAGAGAGGGAAATGGTATTGTAGAGGGATTATTGAGGGAGGGTGGAGTGAGGGTTGGAGGGTGAAATGATGGAAGGATGGAGACGGAGCGCCATGTCTCCCTTCCTTCACCCCCCGAAGGAAAAAACAGCCACACAGATTTATGGGGCCGGAGGCCTCAGTGATATTAGCATATGCATCATTCACACCCACACGATTCCCCCAGGGTCCCTGTCGTATTGAAGTCATTTAGCCAGTGGCTCCCCCGTTTGTTTGACTGGACATTTATAGGAGAGTCATCACACACACAACCAGAAGAGACGCACAAACACGTGGCATGCCTAACCAGCCATCAACCCTTAAGTAATTTAACTTAGGGAGAGCACCCCCAGAATCCCGGATGGGCAGTGGCAGGTGTTGTGTCGTATGCGGTTTTAATAATTGAACAGGATGTTGTGCACAACACATGGGTGAGGTGGGGTGGCCCATCCATCTCCGCCGGTCACCCGACAGCCCCTGGTTTGCCCTGCACCAACAGCACGCCTCCCGGGTTCCCACGACCGGCAGTCTGAAAGCCATCCAGCTGCTGTGCACCTATGACCGACAGCCCAGCACCTATGATCTATCTGCAATGTATCGACCCTAAACAAACCGTTTTGGGGCTCCTGGAGGGCCCTAAAGCGCAGCCGGGGCAACATGTGCTCCCTTTAAGTCGACCATGCAATGCCTTGCCTACCCTATATTTCAGAACAATCCTATGCTTTTCGGTGCTTTTGGATGGGTACAAACAGTGATTTTTTTTCATTTAGGGGGGGTCTCAATTTATTCCAACCTAATTAACAAAGTTGCTAGCGTCGCCGTTATGTATTCCTTAAGAGTGGGGCGCTGGGGGGGGCTACGCCCCCCCAAGACCCCCCCCCGATAAGTTACAACTCCCCTCATAGACCAAGAGGCACGCACTGCGTTGGCGCGTTTTCGTTCATGTGCGCTCATGCCCTTGCGGATGCGCTGTGTCTGAGCCCGCTTGGCACTGCGAGCGCTCAGGTTGGGCGCCTCGCCGCATTCGTTGTTGTCAAGCTGATTGGGTGACAGCTTGCGCTTATGCTGATCACAACCGCCATGGAAGGCAGGGGTAATGGCGCCCGTGTCATCGGTCGCCGCTGGCAGCAACATTGCCGATGCATTACCGACAACAGCAGCGCCGTCCCAAACGCCTTTATCAGGAAAAATTTTAGACTTATCTTGCTGTTTTTGTGTTTGTTCGGCGTTCAAGTCGTTGCCTTTTGCGTGTTTGTCTATGGAAGGACCGGTCATACATTCTGCTATGCCGCGTTGACTCACGGGCTTGACCTTCTTACGGCCCCTCATATCTATTTTATGATCGATAATACTAAGTTCTGCACACTACGGAGCAATCTGGCAGCAATGGACTTTTTTGGCTGAAGGAATGAAAATGTACGGATCGGCCTCACTTTGTTCCTTATTTCCAAAGGCCAAAAAGGCCTCTTTATTCCTTAAAAGTAATATATTACTTAAAAAAAACACTGGGTACAAAGCGAGAAGTCCTGCCATCATCATCGGCCATGTCGACGTCGGAGTGCCCGCGCGTGAAGCTGTTTGCTATACTAGTTAAAGCAATAACTTTGATTTAGCTATAAAGTCTCTGTAGCCCGTTCGGTTGGCTTTATGAAATTGCGTAACCTATGTCCGGCCGTCGCAGTTACCTTCTACCAAAGTATGTGCGCTTTGCGCAGAATTTAAGCTATAAAGACAAGCAATAGTTAACTCAATTGGTGTTCCTGGCCTCGCAGTAATTCGTTAGCCAACTTCCACTCCGGGGCATAGGCACTCGGGGTCTTGGCCTGCAGGACCCGTCCACATTCACACAATGCCTAAGTCTTGCAAACGCGGCAACCTTTTCTGTAATAAATTACACCTCGAAATCCATGAACGGTTTGCCTCATTGGTACAGGTCGCTTGCAATCACGCCGTACACATCTTCATACATCAGTCCAGAATGACTACATCCTGCTTACATTCGTCATTCACATAGGCAATATTGCGATATCATTACGATCATCGAAGGACCTTGAGGAAGAGCGTGCTACGTGCATAGCCAGAAACGAAGCTAAGTTAGCAGAGCTTGGTCTTTTGCATTCACCTCCCCAGTCCAACAAAAGTACAAGCACTGGATTGAAATCCCGCCGACTTCGTAGAAGGATCAACCAAGCAGTGCAGCCGGCGGTCGACCTTGTCCGCCCTACAACACGGCACAGTAGGAGAGAGGTCACAGCCATTACAGGAACTGTTACCACTGAAGAGTCCGACGAATACTGTGAATTAAAATCAGCATATGAGCGCATGGTAAAGCTGTGACCTTTTGCGCCGCCGTTTATCCTGATGATTTTGCTTGCTTTACTTGTCAAGCATGATTCCCTCCTTCCTTGCTACCCATTCCTTTCTCATTATCGAAGGAGGAGGCTACTCAGAACGTTCCTGAACCTAGTCAAGGTGACCAAACTGGCATTCAAGGCATTCCAGTGGAGGTTCGGGATATGGCATCAAAAATAGGCTTCGAAATCGGCTCTAGGCCGTTCCAGCTGTTCTACACAGCATATGAGAAATGGAAGTCGGATTTCAAGCCTGCTTTTAACAGTCCAGGATCAGCCAAGGCTACCATGGACATGTTCAGCACCCTCTACGAAATGGGCTTCAGGGAGAGAGACCTTCTTGACCAGCAGCAGGTCAACAGGGTGAGCCTCAAAACGGTAAGCATAGAAACCTGTTTGTTTACTGTGAAAATACAGACTAAACGAGAGGTTGTTACAAACCCTAAACACAACCATTCCAGTCACTTGTTGAGGAGGTTTTGTGTATCTGCTGCGTTTTATATGTTCACTTCTCCTTACTGAGAGGTACAACACTGCACTGCTTAATGAATCTACAGTTCAAGGAGAGTGTCAAGCCCAAGATGGTACACATGGTGCCACCAAACTTCATCAATGGGCTTGAGGCAGCCTTTGAGGCGGTTGCCAACCCAAACCCCCGGAAGAGGAAGAACAGCTGGGATAGCCAAGAAGGAGATGGGGACGACGGTGAACGTGATGGCACCAAGGATGCATCAGGAAGTGGGACTTCACAGGGTGTGCAGCGTGCCAAGAGGTACATCCTGGAGAAGTTGTACAAGTTCTTCGATCCAGTCCTGAAGGACTTCAATTCAGCATCCAAGATCTACTTGGAAGTGGTAAGTTAGGGGCAGGGTTGAATTATTCATCTTTGAATGACTGTCACTCAATACTCACGGGTGCTCCTGCTTGATTACAGACCGAAAAGGAGATTGAGGACTTCATGGTTACGCTGGGTGGGCGAGACAGAACCGTGGCTGGCTTCCACTTGGACTCTGAAGCAACCGACCAGGACATACACGCATGTGTCCGGAAGTCCCTGGTTGAGAGATGGAACAACCGCAAGAAGTGGATTGGAAATCTACAGCAGCAGGCCAATGTGGAGGGCGAGTACTAAGAGTACTTTGGAAATTATATTTTAAAATTGTTTTGGGTTTGGGGGATTCAATGTCCTGCTACTGTGTATGCTGCAAATCCATTCTAGCCCTAATTTGTAAATGCAGAGATAAGAGGAGAGACGTAGTTATAGTTTGGGGTTATTGGATTTTCAAAACCCTAGTATTGAAACCTCAAATATGCATACCATGAAACATACATGCCTGCATACATCATACATGCAGCTGAAGACCTTACTAACCATTACATATGTGCATGCCTTGCCAGCAGATGCTTTGAGATTCAACTCCTTTGGAGCTGACGAAGAGGAGTTTGAGAAGTACCAGTCTTCACAGTCGCACCTGGAATACTTGCAGAAGAGCTTAGGGCCTCTAAACAATGAAGATGACAAGTTCGTCTTCATTGTCGAGGGCAAGGACAGTCCTGTGCTCTTAGCTGGCGGTGTGGTCTTTGGCAGTCTTGTAAGTTAATTAGGCTTGATGTTTCTTCACAAGAATGGCCATGTTGTCATCTGCAGCCGCCTCACAACATACAATTAATGTAAGCATGTGTGGCATACATCGCACCTACAATGCAGTGCAACCATGAACTGCTTGAAATTAATGTCTTTGCCTGCTGGATTATAGATTTTATGCTACTGCTAATAATATAATAATTATGTTTCTTTTCATACATGTCCACAACATTGAATAAGCACTGGTCGGTCCCTCCATATTCACCATGCAGGAAAACATCGTGCACGACACCGACAAGGTGTCCGTCTTCATTATGCACAGGGCGAACAACAGCAAGAAGACCTCCATGGTATTGCCCAGTGGTACCATTAAGGTTGGCAAGGAGCTAAAGAAGCACACGGTCGTAGAGCTTCCAGTGCAGAGCCTACTTGGCAGATTCAACAAGCAGCAGGTCAAGGAGTGGGCTTTCTCCCATGGCTGCACAAATGTTCTATGGAATGACTCCATGGTCCAGTACAAGGGCAAGCTGGCGTTGGTTGCTTAGACAGGTTCCATGATGAGCAGGGATACAGAGAAAGTGGGCAGCTGCAGTCTAGGGCCATATATGTGGTTCAGTGGTGTGTAGTAGGTGTTCACAGGAAAAAAGGAAGCAGTGCAGTAGTAGTGTGGAACAGGTCACAGGTGAAGGTTGATGAAGAACATGTATGTATAATTGCATGCCAAGACAAGGTACTGATGTTGCTGTGATGATTTTGGTAGCAGCCTCCAGATGTAAAGAATAGAGACAATAGATGCCTGTACAGGTACAGGCCAGCTGGCTGTGCACTATACTGCACAATTCCGCATGATGAGCAAGTGAGGTGACCAGGGCGACCCAGACTGGTGTGTATAATACATACTTATGTATATAATTCCTGACGAATGTGGTTTTGTGCCTACCCATGCAGTACAAGCTTCTATCCCCAATGATGGCAAATACATGCTGATGGCATGAATAATGAAGTCAGAGAGCTTTCCAAAAAAAGGGAATGTGTGATTTAACAATGGACAGGGATCATGTAAAAGCTCATAACATTTACAGCGTCTGAACCTCAAAACAGCAAGTAAAATCCTTAAACAGCAGTTCAGCAAATTATCTAATGGCAACAGCCAGTAACATGATGGAACTTCCTTTCAGCATGTCCCTGCTCGAAACAGCTTTCAAGGCCTGTTAGCAACTACAGCCCTTGGCACCGCTTAACAACTTAAGTGAATTGAACAATTGCTAACAATTACCTTCCCAAAACCCTAACAGCCGTCAAAAATTCTTTCTCAGCATCTGGGTGACCCAACCAGAATGAAACATCCTGTCAACAATATCCTGCTGTGGCAGAAAGCGCTCTGTTACAGGTCCTTACAGCTTCTAACAGTCCCTAGAATCAGACAACTGTTAACTTAAAAAAACCTAACAGCCGTCAAAAATTCTTTCTCAGCATCTGGGTGACCCAACCAGAATGTAACATCCTGTCAACAATATCCTGTTGTGGCAGAAAGCGCTTCTGTTACAGGTCCTTACAGCTGCTAACAGTCCCTAGAATCAGACAACT